GTTAAGCATGCAAGGGTCCTCCAAACTCAAAGCTAGTCAATGCTATTACACAACAAGTATACATGGCTAGCATTTTTCGACCAAGAGGCCTTAAGACAGAGATAAGACAGCCCAAAATATGAACAAAATCAGTTTAAAGTATGGCCAAAATATGCTAGAATAGAGGGCCAAAACAACATGCATTGTGAGCTAGTGAACATGAGTTACACTACAAGCATATGAAGCATGTGAAGGACTACCAAACCAAGCAAAAACAGAGTCATGGCATGCCAAATGATAGCCAAAAATCCACTGAAACAAGACCAATACATGCAAGAATGACATGCTCATTTGATAAGCCATGAAAGGGATTACTCTACACATGCAAGAAGCAAGCAAAAGAGGACCAAACCAGCCATGGTCAGAGCCTAGGAAGGTCCTAGAAGTCACCAAAAAGTGCATGAACTAAGCCTCCAAATGGTATAAACATATGCTCATTTGGTAGGCCAAAAATGCTAGTAAACAAGACAACAAGAGAGAGGGTCACCCCTCTCTGATTTTGGCCCTCAAAGCCACATTCTCACCACTGAAAATCCACTAGATTTCAGTGGTAGGAAGGCCAAGCAAAAACTAGCTCGAATGCCTTATGGCATGGCACAAAACAAGGCTAAATAGAGCATGTAAGAGGGTAGATGACCCTCAACACCAAAAGAACCTTAAACAAACATGAAAAACACTTAAATATGAAGCTTTTTTCAGTTGACAACAAAGCTCAAATAAGCATGCAAATGAGGCTAGGAGAAGAATCAAAACAATGCTTAAAAAGAGGGAAAATGAGTTACCCTTGAAGCTCAGCAAAACCAGTAACTTTTCTAAACCAAAACCCAACTTTTGAGACCTCTCAAAACCCTCCAGCAACTCAGTAACAATGGTGGAGGTTTATGGTTATGAGGTGGTGTGCAATAGGCCAAGAAGAAAGCACTTTCTAAGCCTAAAATATGGAGACAAAGAGAGCGATATAAGCTTTTCCTTAGAGCAATTTTTCAACCTGGTATAAGGAGAGGGAGGGCCTCTCTTATAGACAAACAAAGCCAAAGCTTCTTCAAGAAGCTAAAAAACAAGGCTCAAGGTCCTCCATACACGTGTATGGAGAACACAGTCTGTGCCTTCCAGTTGGCACAGCTGGCATCCACACAAACAGACAAAACAAGAGGGAGATGGCTAACCAGAAAATGTGGTCGGCCAACCAGGTCAAGTGGTCTGCCAGATAAAAACTGGTCGGCCAAGGCAAATGGTGGTCTCCACATTGAAAGCAAGCTAGTGGTGTGGTGGGAGACCAGCAAATATGGCCTAAAGACCAAGAAAATCAACTTCCCGATAAGAAAATCGGCTGGCGAGGAGAAAGTGGTCTCCAAGGAGAAAAGGTGGTCTTCTACCCTTGTACCACCTCCCAAACAAGGAAAACAAGGTTCATGCCAAAAAATGAACCAACACGGACTCAAAACGAGAGTTCGGGGGGCAAAGCGCGCGGCCGGGTGCCTCGAAAACTGGCTGTTGAGCACCAAAAGTGGCGTACGGCCAAAAAAGTGGTCTTCCGGACCACAGTGTCCCTCTAGACAGAGAAAACAAGGTGTGTTCCAAAAACCGTGCCAAACGGAGAATGTTAAGCGGTCCCGAGCCGAGGCGCACGACCGATGGCTCCAAAAACCAGAAACTAGTCTTCAAACGGGAACGGTGGTCTACGACCACGAAAAGTAGTCTACGACCACTGAGAGATAGTTTACAAGACCTCTCCCTCCCCCCGGGAAGAGAAAACAAGACTTAGTCCGCAGACCGAGTCAAACTACAAAAGGGTCCCGAGGTCCGGAGGTGAAGCTCTCAGCCAAGAACTCTGAAACCTCGAAACGAGCACAACATGAGCAATCACCGAGCGCTCAATCGATGACGTCTGAGTCTTAAGGTCAGTCAAGAATTGGGTGTCTACACCCACTTACATAGTGTTTGGTTGAGGATATGAGTGAAGCAATTAACCATCCATTTGGGTCTTGTTTGTTTGGCAGATTAGTTTAGATGGCATTATGAGTACGGTAAGATTGAGTGAGGTAATTATTAATGTGATGATATTAGTTTGTAAATGTATGATAAAGAGTATTTGTTTGTGTATTAGTGTGGTTGTATTAGTTTGTTAGGATTAAATCTATAAAATTACGTAAACACCTTCACTATGTAATAATTAGCTTTGTTGTTTTTGTAATATAAGGGCAAAATTGTCTTTTCATACCTAATCCCATGGGATTGTATTACCAATTGCACCTCTCCTATGGGAAAGCTAATCCTACCGCGTGGGGATATTTATAGTCCCATGGGACTACTAGTCCCTTTTTATTTTGTTAACCAAACATGGGTTATGTAAGGCCTACAAGATTATTAATCTAATCCCCTACCTATGGAGCTAAACAAACATAACATTGGACTAGTAATCCCCTCCATTGATAGAACTACTAAGAGAAAAACTATGGATCTAGACTTACCCACCCATAATTTTATGAGTAGGTGATTGTGCGATGGAAATTAATTTGTGTAGTGTGGGGTCCATGTGAGGTGTGGTGGAGATTAATTTTTGAATAATTTATAGGGTGATGAGGGTGGGCTTGTAGTATTACTCGACTACCAATTCCACGCGAGAGTTAGGATTAAAAATTAAGTGAGAAGATTAGTGATTTTTTAAGTAAAATTTATATATTTTAGAACCAAAAAAAAAATATTTATAATATTAAAAAAATACTAAAAATTTAAAATATTAATTTTATATATTAATATTATCTATAGTATTACTAATTCGGTAATGTATAAATAAACACTTTTTATCCTAAAGGTTATTTTGGGAAATGACTTATAAGCTGGTTTTTTTAACTTATTACGAAAAAATAGAGAGATGATGTGATCCAAATAAGCTGACTTATAAAACACTTTCCAAAATGGTCCTATAATCTCATCACTCACTCTCATCAGTATACTCTTAATCCTCTTAATCATATAAAACCAAACAAAGGTAGCCCAAATGTTTACTAGTAAAATTTGAATCATGGTTCTCTTCATTACATATCCAATAACTATTACGTGAATTTATCACTATTTAACCTCGTTGAGTAATATTTTCATAACCATTAGATGATAGGCATCTTTTGGAAAGGCAAAAAACAAACTAGTTTATTGGCTTATTTAGAGTCATATCACTTTTTTAATTTTTTACATTTTATTTTTTTTATTTTTTTTGGATAACAAGATAACAAGTCAAAAAAAAAATTCACTTCCCAAAATAGGTCATAATGAAAATTTTCCATTACAACAATGTAATGGAGAGGATTTTAGTAAACTATTTTTAAAATTGTGTATAAAAAAATTAATGTTTGAATGTACCTAAAAATAAAAATAAAAAATACTAAAATATGAAAAATATTTACTTAAAAAAAAAAAAAAGCCTTCAAAAACTGCGGGACCCACTGCCACCTAATTAGTGGGAGCACTAATTAGTGCTCCCAAGCATTTTTCCTTCCCAAAATAGGTCATAATGAAAATTTTCCATTACAACAATGTAATGGAGAGGATTTTATTGAACTATTTTTAAAATTGTGTATAAAAAAATTAATGTTTGAATGTACCTAAAAATAAAAATAAAAAATACTAAAATATGAAAAATATTTACTTAAAAAAAAAAAAAGCCTTCAAAAACTAAGTCATGGCCTTGTTTTGGAAGGTGGCTATTGTAATAGGTTATTTTAGTAAGTTAAAATATTTGTATTTGGAAACATGGTTAGATTTTTTTTATAATTAGATAGGATGGTGTGAGAAAAAAAGTGAAACGATTATGAATTTGATGTAACATTTTGTTTTATTAACTATTTTAACTTATTTTATTTTTTATTTTAGCCCAAAAAAATCATTTGCCAAACACCCCATGACAAAAATAATAAAAAATCAATTCATTTTCTCTATTTTTGTTTTACATGTCATTAAAAAAACTAAATCCCAAACCAACTTATAGGCCTCGTTTAGAAAGTTGGTTATGTTAATTTTTAACTATTATTGGATTAAATATATGTGTTTAGAAAGATAATTGGATATTTTTATAATTGGATGTGATATTTATGAGAGAAAAAGTAAAATAATTATAAGTTTGACGCGACATTGTTTTATTAGCTATTTTAATTTATTTTATTTTTTTGTGACTTTTAATCCAAAAAGCAAAAAACAAAACAAAAAACCCTTACCAAACAAGTCCAAGGGAGAATTCTATTATACAAACTTCATACCATAAGTACCTTTAGTTACGTCATTTTCTTTTCTAGTTATGATTAATTTTTTTCTTTAATTATGATATTATTTTGAGACATTTGAGGAGTGTTTGGAAGCCAATTTTAAAGTTTTTTTTTTGGTTAAAATTCATAAAAAGATAAAATAGGCTAAAATAACTAAGAAAATAAATATTACATCAAACTCATAACCATTTCATTTTTTTTTTTCACAAATATCACATTCAATTACAAAAAAAATTCAATAACACTAAAAGATAAAATATATTAAAATAGTCAATAAGATAAAATGTTACATCAAACTCATAATTATTTCACTTTTTATCTCACATACATCATATTCAACTATAAAAAAAATTTAACTATTTTCCCAAACACAAAATTTTAACCTCTTAAAATAGTTAAAAACTAAAATAACTTCTCAAACACTTACAAATAATTTAATCTGCTAAAATAGTCAAAAATTAAAATAATCAACTTCCAAACAAAGCCTTAGTTATGATATTTTTGTGTTTAGTTATGATTTTTTTATTTTATTTTAATTATAACTCAAAAAAGATATATATAAAATTATATAATTTTTTTCTATAATTTTGAGGTATATATATAATCAAAATATAGATCAAAGGCAGAAACCCTAATTTGTACCATTATAAATTCTCTACTAATAAACATTTTGCAAGTGGAGGATTATTTTAAGATCAATGACAGAGAAATTAGTATAGAGTTGTTTAGGACCCAGAAACCACGTCGTTTGCAACACTCCAAGGATCACAAAAAACCCAAAAGCCATTTTAGCTTCTTTGCTCACTTCTTCACTTCTCTGTAAAGTCTATACAAACGCTCAGAGTCAGACCAACCCTTTAATCTCTCTCTCTCTCTCTCTCTCTCTCTCTCTCTCTCTATATATATATATATATAATCTTTCTTTCTTGAAGCTATTTTGATCCAATCATGGCTCACTTGGCCGTTTCTCAGGTGATTATTGCATTCTTGAATTGCGAATTTTCGAGTGCATTTGGGTGTTTGATTTTGATTATTTTGCAGATTGAATGGAAATAATTATTGGGTATATTCTAAATTTGATCGCAGGTCTATGTGACTGTCCCTCTTAATAGCGATTCGACTTTTAAGAGATCTGTGTTTAAGGTACTTAATTTCTTTTAATTAATACTGATTTTTGTGCTTTCGTTGTGAACCCAATAAATTTTACTTGCTGATTGTTATATTTTTGGCTTATTTTTATTTTTTAACATGTAGGTTAGCTAATCCAATAGCTTAATTTAATTTTACTTTCTATGGCTTTTTAGAGAGAAAATCCAAGCATTTTTTTTATTTAAAAAAATTACATTTTTGAAGTTGTAAGTACATAAAAAAAATGTTTATCAACATAGGAATTGGTTTTCTTGTGGTTCTGTCACGGTAGATTCTCTTACTACTGCTATATTTTGTGGCTCCTTCAAATGTTTTTGTTTGTTTGTTTATTGGGTTATCTTTGAATGATGATATTAAGGTAGAAGTTAGAACCCCAATGTTTTTATGAGTGGCTCGGAATGTCAAATTGCTGGATAAAAATTGAATTTGATTGGAATACTAGTACTGTTAGTTGTCTTGTGTATTGTTGTTCGCCAGTGATGGGGTTATGCTGTACACTCAATATTGTTCAAATGGTCTCTGTCAATAGCTTTTTGACCCATTTGACCCATAGAGGGGCTGCAAACGAACCGAGCCGAGTCGAGCTTTGCTGAGCTCGAGCTCGGCTCGTTTACTTATCGAGCTCATTTATTGAGCTCGAGCTCGGCTCGATAAGGAATTGGGCTTGAGCTCAGCTCGTTAATTTTAATAAAACTCGAGCTGAGCTCGGCTCGGCTCGGCTCGGCTCGATAATTTTTTTTAATATTATTTATATTATTTAATATATAAAAAATGTATTTATGTTATTATTTATATATTATTTAATATATAAATAATATATTTATTATATAATTTAAATAAAGATAAATGAGCTAAACTTGAGCTCGGCTCATTTACTAAACGAGCCGAGCCGAGCCCTTAACAAGCCGAGCCGAGCCGAGCTTGTTCATGAACAGCTCGGTTCATTTGCAGCCCGGTCAGTATTTGCTTGGGAATAATACAATTTTAGGGCTGCAAAATAGCGTCTTTAACATCTTTTTGTTCTGAAATTAAACAAATCGGGTATGGATGAAGTTATTTTCCAAACCACAGTAAAGTGTAGTTACAACTCACGTTTTCATGTAATAATGCTTTTGAGTTATTTTTTGCATGTTTTATTCAGTCGTTGGTGATTATTTTAGTAAGGCATAATCCTAAAAAAACGTGGTTTGGAAAAATCCTTTCAAGAAAATGTGATTTGTGACGACGCTTCACTGTGATTGGGAAATAAGTTCATTCCTACCTTATTTGTTTAATTTTTGAATAAAAAGATGCACAATGGTGTAGAAGGGGAGGGTGGTGGCACATGGTGGATTTGGGTTAGGTATGAGAGAGGAGACGGGATGGTGCAGTGGCTTTTGGGTGATGGTGGTTCAAGAGGGGGAGGGAGGAGATGGTATGTTGGTGGATTTGGGAGGGATGGGAGGGGAAGGGTGGTGATTTGGGTCAGGGACAGGGAGAGTGGCCATTTTTTTTTTCATTTATATCCTTGGCTGCATTTATGAAATTGTCAAATAAATTATTCAAAGGATTTGCGTTTCATTTTGTGGCAGGCGCACAACATAAGTTTTCGTGATAAATCATGGACGTCTGTTGTCTCACATTCGGACTTGAAAACCAAGAATTCACAGTTGAGAAATCAGTATGTAGTTTGCATGTCAGTGCAACAAGCCAACAAACCTAAGGTTGTGGTCTCTCCTATATCACTCGAAGATGCAGAAGAGCCTCCACTGAACTTACACAAGCCCAAGGAACCGTATACAGCAACCATTGTCTCAGTTGAGAGGATTGTAGGCCCAAAAGCTCCAGGAGAGACTTGTCATATTGTGATTGATCACGGTGGCAATGTTCCCTATTGGGAAGGACAAAGTTATGGTGTAATTCCTCCTGTAAGTGGTAAATTCTATAGGTTTCTTTTTGTTAAAATCCACCTCACCTCACCTACTTCACCCACTTAAACCTACTCCACTAAACCTAACCCACTACACCACTACCACCTCACCTACTCCACTAAACCTAACCCACTACACCACTACCACCTCCACTTCACCTACTCCTCACCTACTACACACTCACCCTCTCCTATATATAGGAATCATTGTAACCATAACATTAATATCAATCAATAATACAATTCTCTATTTCTCTTTATAGATTAAATTTTCTACACTTTTTACATTCATTATCTTGCATAGTTTCGTGCTATACTTCTTATGCTAAAATTTTGAGATTTAATCACCTAATTTTGGATTTATTATGGTTATTTGCAACATGTACAGAATATTATCATCGGGTTCCTCTCCAGCTCCTTTTTTTATGGATGTTTGTTCATTTATTAATTAATATTGATTTTCCTTTCCTGTGGGCATCAACATTGGAGAGCTTTCGCTGTCTTAGTTAGTATGGTCCTATTTAACTTCTTTTTCATGAAATTACTACTAGTTTAAGACTCTTATTAGCTATTGGGCCTAAGATGATAAGTAGCAATCAAAGCTATTTAGAGTTGGGGAAATTTTCACGTGTCTCAATCTTGAAGTTCCATAAAATGGTGGGTCTTAAATCCATGCTTCCAAATAACTCGTACCTTTGTTCTTTGCATGCTAATAATGATGGTACTGTACTTAACCTCATCCTGTTAAGTTTACTGAATTATTCTTTCTTTTTCATCACAGGGTGAAAACCCAAAGAAACCAGGGAATCCTCACAATGTTCGTCTATATTCGATCGCATCCACTAGGTATGGAGACTTTTTTGATGGCAAGACGGCCAGTTTGTGTGTTCGACGTGCTGTCTATTACGATCCTGAGACAGGAAAAGAAGAGCCTTCAAAGAATGGCGTATGCAGCAATTTCCTTTGCGATTCAAAGCCTGGAGACAAAATTAAAGTCACAGGTAAGATTTGGCTGGTTCCAAAAAAGGATGACACCAAATCAAGTTATAATATTCTCAATTCTGAAGTGAAGTATATTAATTTTATTGTTGTCAAAGAAATGCATCACATAGGTAACTCCTACGAATATAAAATGACTGGAGTTTTAGTGATTAATGAAATTTATCGTTCCATTACAACTATTCAAAATATTGCTTCCTTCTCAAACTTTGAATAATGATCCTAATATCTTCTTGCATCAGTTGAATATAATTTCTGGTCAAGTAACATTTTTACAACTCAGTCAATTGGGAATTTTACAATGAAGACATTTTTAGGTGGCTTGGTATGCAAAAAGAAACTGTTGTTAATTAAATATTTTGATAGAATTATGGTGTATGATATATTGGTAGACAGTTCTTGTAGATCTTTCATTGAGAAACTCGACAAATGCACCTGTTAATCAACAATCTCTGTTAGAGGTGCCTTCAAGCCTCTTATATCCTGTATGCTGTGTGTCATGTCCCACCAATCAATTACTCTTCCTTGATTGCATGCCATCAAACCAGTGTCATCATCCCAATAATCAATTACTCTTTTCTTGAGTTCCTGTGTGAATTGGGTGCATTCCTTCATCTGCAGAGGTGCAAAGGACTAAAGGAATTGACTAGTCTGACATTTTTTTTTTGGTTGATAAATCTAGTCTGACATTTATTTACCAATGGTTCTATTATTCTTATACCCACTTTGTTCTTCATTAACAAACTTTGAGACAACTAAACATAATGGGCATTTATTTTTTAAAAGGCAGCTAATGGCCTAAATTTCTGAAGTTACGATAGGATGAAGTAATCACGATAATATGATTGGATTACTTTTTTGGTTTTGGTTCTTTTGCTGTTCTGTTAATTGAGTGACAATATTTTGGCAGGTCCTTCTGGGAAGATAATGCTTTTACCTGAACATGACCAAAATGCCACTCACATTATGATTGCTACTGGTACTGGTGTGGCTCCATACAGAGGGTACCTCCGTCGTATGTTCATGGAGTCTGTCCCTAAATTCAACTTTGGAGGCCTCGCTTGGCTGTTTCTTGGGGTGGCCAACACTGATAGTCTCCTCTACAATGACGAGTTCACCAAGTATCTTCTAGACTACCCAGATAACTTCCGGTATGATCGTGCTCTAAGCCGGGAACAAAAGAACAGGAACGGAGGCAAAATGTACGTTCAGGATAAGATCGAAGAGTACAGTGACGAGATTTTCAAACTCTTGGATGGTGGGGCCCACATTTACTTTTGTGGGCTCAAGGGGATGATGCCTGGTATTCAAGACACGCTGAAGAGGGTTGCGAAGGAGAGAGGGGAGAGCTGGGAAGAGAAGCTATCGCAACTCAAAAAGAACAAACAATGGCATGTTGAAGTCTATTGATGTTGCATTTCACTTAAAGAGAGCTTGGGTAATGTGGTTCATTGTTTGTTATTTTGATGTGATGAATTTCACTAGCAGTTGTTATTCATATGTACTATTTATATGAGAAGGGAATGTGAATTGTTCTCTATTGAATGCAGGAAGATTAAGAAACTCCATTGATAATGCTCGAGATCATTCTTGCTCTGTTCTTCTGTCATATTGTTCATCCATTTGTAATGAGTCTGAAGAGGGTTGTTTCTTGAATCTGAAATTTTTTTAGGTTTTACGTGTGATAGATGGTTGTAAATGGATGCATTGGTGACACAGGTACCCAAATTTGATCGACTGGCATTCAGTGGGGTATGCTTTTTTAGTAGTTTTTTTGTTAGTTTATTTTGTCTTGGTGATTTTTTTAAAAATTTTTTATGTTTCACCAATTTCTTCTCAGGCAACAAATGCAGGAGTTGCAGAGTTCAGTTTGTGATATATTGTGGCCCTATAAAATTTGGTAATAAATTTTAAAAAAATGGATGCCCTGTTACTAATGTTAGTTACTAGGATTATTAGCATATCCAAGGAGCAAATTCGTTGTGAAATTACATTTTGCACTTTTACACTTTCTTGAAATTCCACGTTCCACTCCTTCCTCTCTGCTTCGATTTTACAATCGCAGTCCATGTCATACCCTTTTGGTCAAGGGTTCCGTTTGGTAGAACTGTGAAAAAGTGATTATAGATTATAGATTATAACTTAATAGATTATGACTTATAGCTGTGAATATAAGCTGTTAACTTGTTTGGTGTAGCTGTGAAATTATGAATTTAAGCAGCAGAGTAACGTTTGGTTAATAAGCTGTAAAATAATTTTTTACTGTATAATTGTCATTTTTGTCCTTATATGATATAAAAATGATTATTTTGTCATTTTTTTCAGTTTTAATTTAAAAAAAAAATATTTCATTAATAAAAGTTAATATAATTAGTATTAATTATTATCAATTAATATAAAAATTGATACATTTGCTAAAAATGTAATGGAAGTATTATTGTCATAATTATTTTTCATTGTAAATTAATTAGTATCAATTAATTGCTTAATTAGTATCAATTAATATTAAAATTATTAATTAGTATCAATTAATAGCTTAATTAGTATCAATTAATACTAAAATTATTAATTAGTATAAATTAATATTAATATTTAATTTTTATTAGTATCAATTAATATTAATAATCAACAATTGTTATTAATTAGTATCAATTAATAATTAATTCATTACAAAAGTATACAATATTAATTTATTAATAATTGATACCAATTAATATTGATTTTTTTAATTAATATTGATTTTTTTTCTTTTTCTTCAGAAATATACAATTGTTTATTTTTAATTAATATAAAAATATACAATATGAATTTATTAATAATTAATACCAATTAATATTTATTTTTCAATTAATATTGATTTTTTTTCTTTTTCTTTAAAAATATACAATTTTTTTATTTTTTTAATTAATATTAATATGAATTAATATTAATATTTTGGTATTGACGAGGGCATTTAAGTAATTTTAGCCCCCACACCAGCTATACGCTTAATTTAAAAGTTTAAGCACCCCTGACCATTTTTTGAAATAAATTTAAGCACCCCTGACCATCTTTTGAAATAAATTGAGAAATAGCTTGATTTAAGTTATAAACTGGTTACCTTAAACTGCACCAAACACAATATTTTAGCTTAAATTAAACTAAAAATTGAAATAAACAGCTTTTAAGCTTTACCAAACAAGCCTAAGTTGCAATTACCGCCTAACAGGGAATCTCCATTCAAGAAGCTAAAGAAAAATAATTGCATTCATATTCTAGTAACAGAAAGTCTCACTATTGATCAAATGAATATTTCGATCCGATCAAATCGAGCGAATTGAACCGTCGCATTTTAGAAAGATGCTTAATGACGAACGAACGGTTGCGGATTAATTTTTTTCCAATCCGTCTAGTTTTGGACGGATAGTGAATTTGATATTCATTTTGCCGCAATCGAATCGCCAAACTGCGAGTACCCCTAATAATTTGTAAAGCTTTGTATTTTCAATTTATTTAGATATTATATTTGTATTTTTAATTAAAAAAGAGTTTAAATATTCTATTATGTTTTCAATTTGAAAATCCTATAATCAAATGGTAAGAGTTGATATTGATATTTTTGTGTAAAAAATATCAAACTTAATTGTCTTTTTTTTAAAAAGTCGAATTAAATATTTTTTGAATAAAAAGAATAATGAAATTGTTTGATAATGTATGATTTTTTTTATACGTATTTATTATTAATATTTGACAATTTACTTGATAATTTTTTGATTATGTTTAGTTGGATTGTTGTAAAAAAAAATGTTGACAAGTTGTATTATGTTTAAAATTTATAAAAATTTAAACAGTTAAACCGACTTTCATCCATTTGCCAATTTGCCAATCTGTATCCATCAATTCGACAGACGGATGCAGATTGATTTTTTTCAATCCGCCAATCTGACGGTGGATGACGGAATTGGAAATTTTTTGGCTGGAACCGAACAACAAGCACCCCTATCTCTCGCTCCCAGAGTAGAGCTCTCCTGCTATCGAACCTGTGTACTCTCAACAGCAAAGAACCATCTCTCTCATACATGCATATATAATAAAAACATATGCCCAAATTCTGATAAATGCTATTGCATACACAATGCTATCGAACATATGCACAAATAATGTAAATAATAAGGTTCTCTACTTATCCTTTAGGTCATCTCGGTCCAGACAATTCAGCATTAGGCAAATTGGGGGTGGAGTCAGGCAAATTGGGGGTGGAGTAAACAATCCGATTAAATTCAAAAGGTGGGACCCATGCAAATTCCGGGCGGGATAACTCCAACTGCTGCCACTCCTCCCATTTTTCTGCCAAGCCATCACCTTCGAGCATTCTGATAACCTCTGACATCTTAGGCCGGTCCATTGGAACCGCTTGTGTACAGAGCAGTGCTACTTGGATCAGCTGCACAACTTCATCGGCTTCAAAATAACTGTTCTGCAGATTTGGATCTACCAGCATTTCCAACTTGTTCTCTTTGCAGAGTCTTTTAACCTGAGAAAAATTGCAAAAATGTGCTTCATAACGGCCCAAACACGGCTAAGTGAAAAGACAACTAAAATTATAAACAAAATATAGAAATCCAAAAACTGAATGCTTTATCAGCCAATGTCGATAGAAATTATGCTTATACAGTAGCATTTTGGAATGTACACTCCGAAACAAAGTGGAGTGGTCTAATTAGGTAGTTTATAGAATTAGTGGGTTCAGTGGATAGGGCTCGGTGCGAAAATGCTTTCAACCTGTGTTCGAGTCCCCATTGCCTCTCAGTGTGGCGCCCTTGCGTTCCCCTGGTCCGGCTTGCTGGATCAAAAGTTGGGGGAGCCTTGCCCGGGGCTGGGGTTTGGCTGAGCCCGTGCCACCCTTTTTTTTCCTAACAAAAAAAGGGGGGGGGGGGGGGGGGGGGGGTGGGGTAATGTAAGTTGCATCTAGTTGATGAGTCCAAATTGGCAAGTAGATTACGAATCTTATTGTGTAGATTGTGCATCACTAGTCGATGTCGATTGTGCCCCATATGGCTTCTGCCCTATGAGCAATGTCAATGGGGTTTGTATGTTCTTCTTTATCTTATGTCATGTGCCAGGCAAATCCTTGCAATACAACTTGGCACAGTGGATCTATCACACAAGGATTCCGAATCAGCAGATACAAAATCTTGAATCCACATGAAATATAAGAATTCTCAAAGAGAGAATGAATATTATTTATCAAAAAGTTGTAATACCCTTGGGCATGCGTAGCTATTTATAATAAACCAAGTCTTGGAGACATGGCAAACTAAAAAACAAGTGATCTAAAATTAGGAAAGTAAAATCAACACAAATTAAGAAACCTAATACCCTTAGAATATTCTATACTAAAATTATAAGCTTCCTAATGAAACAATATATCAAAAATATAAATATACAAATATAAAAACCTCTAAAATCATGTACTACATCATAGTAGTTTTAAGGTAAACAAATTAGAAACATGAAAAACAAAAACCATGAGAATTACAATGTACATGAAATAGTAAGGGAAAATAATGAAGCATACCCAATTTAGCAGCAAGACATCATCATCATTTGCAGGCCGAGCACGATCAAATGCTCTCTGTCCAGTGATCAGCTCTAACAACATAATCCCATAGCCAAAGACATCAGTCTTCTCTGACGACTTCCCTGTAGAGAGATATTCTGGAGCCATATGCCCGACAGTGCCACAAACTGTCGTCGTAACATGGGTACCTCTATAATCCATAAGTTTGGCCAACCCAAAATCACCAACAACAGCCTCAAACTCCTCACCTAACAGAATATTTGCAGCTTTCACATCACGATGAATGATCTTTGGATCACAGTGATCATGCAAATAAGAAAGCCCTCTTGCAGATCCCATTGAGATGCTCTTCCTTGTTGGCCAATCAAGTGGTGGTTTTGACGGTGGACGTTCTACAATATATTTTACCCAAAGGAATGCTATCAGTCACACATTTCCAATTGCACAAAGCTAACAGAATTAACTGTTGGAAGCCAATTTGTTTCGTATTCAGAAATTCAAAATGAAATAGCTGGTCTGGTAACAGACTAAAATGATAGCAAATGAAGTAGATGTCATAAATGCTTCATTTTGACAAGATATAAATATACAATATATACACATGGAAAGAAGTGTATCCAACATGTAGGATAAGGCTTGCAGCATAACAGTTTTGATTATCAATATCTTGTATGAATGCTAGAGTGATACACAATATAACAAAAATAAGGCACCATTGATTAATAACACAAAAGCGCCATTTGGTGAAAGAAGGAACTTGTATTAAATAAAAAAGGCGGGTTTCAATTATGAGGGATGAGGTTTGTAGCATAACAATTTTAATTATCTTCATTGGCATATAATTTGCCAGAATAATACACGGTGTGTCAAAAATTAGGCACCAAGTATTGAGTAGAATAGAATAGAGCTTCCTGGAGAGGGACTTATCACCAAAAAGAAATTAACCCTCTTTATTTTGGATAATAAGGAAATAGCTTACTACAAACTGTCAATTTACCAACACAAATTGTAGGTGTTTCTGGAATGAATTTCTCTGTGGGTTACTTCACATACAGTTTTATCAAATCTAGCACAATAGCACAACAAAAGACAACAAGTAGTACCTCTTAAACATGATGCAACACTTCCATTAACCATGTATGGATAAACAAGCAGTCGCTCTGTTGGTGTCATGCAAAAACCACGTAGTCGCAAAAGATTTGGATGCACAGCCAAGCCGATCATTTCTATTTCTGTTTGAAACTGCAACTCCCCACCTAGTGTCCGCTCGTCTTTAAGTCTTTTTACTGCCACTAACGAACCATCAGCAAGGCATCCCTTGTACACCTTACCAAATCCACCCCTTCCGAGAATTCTTTTATTGCTAAAAGTATCAGTTGCAATTTGCAATTCTCGCAAAGAAAACCTTTTGAGCTGTCCCAAGTGGACTTCTAGATCCTCTTCGTCTGAGGAGAGATAAATAGTGAAAAGACATATCCCAACAGTCAATTTAATCTATTTTTGAGTGAAGAGCACAAACCAGATAGATCAAAGAAATTTTCTAGTTGTTTCCTTCTGTGCCACCATGCAAACCCAAGTACTGGTGCAACAAAAAGTAAGGCAGCAGCAGCAGCAGCTGCACCTTCAACAATTGCTCCAGCGGCACTATTTCCTCCTGAAATCCATTGAAAAACCAAATATTACAACTCAACGCTGTTTTTCAAATCAATAAACACCGAAACATATGCATTAAAATGCCAACAACAAATTACCTAAATACTGGTTCAAGAATAACATTCCAACAAAATATTTCTTTTCTTTTCCTACTTGATAAGTACAACTCAAAAAATTGGCACACTTCCGAAGAAATAATAATTCAATTAACAACCCTTCTTAGACCAAACATTAACCTTATAATTTAACACTCCTATTAACTTTTAGGTAATTCGGCAAAAAACTAGTAGCAAAAATAATGCAGCATCGATATCAACGAAGTAAAACTCTACTCTTCACACTTTTGGGGTGCATTGGTAGACTAAATTCTTAATTACAGATGTGTGCATTTTATAGATAACTTCCAGAAAATATTAGTAGCGTAGAATAGTTTCCTTTGTCCATATGGAACAAATGGAAAGGATTTGCAAATTAAAATTCACCGACAAAATCATAGAGTACTAGTATCAGCCACAATAACAGACATTACCTGGAGAAGCAATTGTTGATGGTGGAACAAATGGAGGAGGGGAAAGTGGTAGAGATCCAGGGCAAGTTCTCCCAGTAACTGGTCCACATAGATTTAAGTTATTAGCAAAACTGCAGACGGTAAACAAAAAAAATTAGCATAGTGTTCATACAAGATCACTATGGTTAACAACATTTCTCTAACAAGAAACCTCAAGGGAGTGAATGATGAAAATGAGCCATTGTCTGGAACAGGTCCTGATAAGCGATTGTTTGATAAATCACTGCAAACCACATTGTGAGAATATAATGTCACATCACCATATCTAAATCTGCTGATGGGGAGAAAAGATTATGAAAAAGAAAAAGAGGAAAACCAAAATTTTAGCATGAAGGAGATCAATAACATCGAGGCACTTACAGGACTTGCAGTGCTGTGATATTAGTCAAGGACAATGGAATAGAACCAGAAAGGCTGTTGTTGTTGAGCCGGCTACCCTTACATAGACATACCAAGAGAACAATGTTAAGTTCAAACATAATTAGAATGGCCTTACATGGCATAAATAGAAGATGCACACAAATTCATTTGCCCAGATAAAGCATGAGGATATGGAATGAAGTATGGGTAGCACCTAAAAAAATGCCCATCTCTCTTTGGGATTTTATGACCTTGCTATGATCCACCATACCAAAGACAATGTATGTAAGAAGCAAGGTGTTAATTCCTAGAAAAGAGGATTCATGTACCAAACTCCATGTTGAGTTGCCAATGCATGTGTTCCCCTCACTACCAATTTTTTAGGAGTATCGGTTTTAGAATTTGTGTATGCTTTGTAAATAAGCTAATTCCACAAAATCCCCCCCCCCCCCCCCCCCCCCCCCTCCAAAAAAAAAAAGAAAAAGAAAAAGAGTTTCCTACAAGTACATGCAATAGGACAATGCTCTACATAATAAACCCAAAAGGTAATTTATTTTGTTTTTTTCCCTTGTTATCACAAGCATTGTTTGAAGAGGGGGGAGATGATTCGTAAATAGGCGCAGACAGTGAAAAAGGTTGATCATGGTCAAAGAAATAGACTAAGGATTCCCATATTGAAGTTTAACGAGTACTAAAGGTTGATCATCACAAATAGAATCCTCAAATAAATACACAGTGAATGCTAAATACAAGTTTCTTTGTGCCGTTCATAGTCTTTGAACTCTAGGTTCCATACATGGTCAAAGAAACACAATGCATCAAAAAGAGGTCTAATTTAAATATAAAAAAATTAAATTAAATAAAAAATAAAATTTGCCTGACCAACCATCTGATGCACATCATTTTTTTCATACTTCAAGTTTCTTCAATTATATATATATACATGTGTGTGTGTGTGTGTATATAATTTTCTGATTTAATGCATAAAGAAATTAAAATGTTATTATAAGTTAAACTCATGTCACTGAGACTTCAAACTTGATGGTTTCCTCATGAAACAACACAAAGCTTAAAATGTTCTCTGAAACATTGATCAACACCTCCATCATGAATTAAGAATTAGCCAAAAACTGTGAATTCTTAATAATGGACTTTTAGAGTGTGACGTAAAAAATGGCACGAATGTGTCCGGAGATTTAAACCGTCACCTAGGATGTGACCATAATGACTTGATAGATGACATAAATCTTGAACTTAATAATCCAATTGAGAATTAACAAAAAAACGCGAGTTCTTAATAATGGGCTTTTAGAGCGTGACATTAAAACATGGCACGAATGTGTCTAGAGACGCAAACAGTCATCTAGGGTGTGACCATTGTGATTTGATAGACAACACAAATCTTGAACTCAACCATCCAATTGAGAATTAGCCAAAAAACGCAAGTTGTTTGGGATGTTCTAAATAAGTGCACTTTCTGACTTTTCATAAAAAAAAATGTGTAGAAAAGTTGAGAGGAGATGTTGATTGATGTGACCCAAATAAGTGTATGTATGCAAAAAAAGTGCACTTTTTTAGTGCATGCCAAACACCTACTTAATTAATAATAGTGTCAATTAACAAATTGAAATGATATCTGATATCCAATGCCAATGTGTTACCATGTTCTACAAGAATTATATTATTGACTTTACTATAATAATAATAATAAACAATTAGAAATTTCAGAAACCTATATATCCAATACATAGTGTAATGTATCCATATAAAAACCTATTTTCCAATAAGTAAAAAGCCTTCTGCTAAATGACTTGAGAATGATGAAAGGAATATAATAAACAGGAATGAACTCAAATAGAGCAATTGATGAAGGTGAAGATGTGTGTGCATATTGGATTGGTAAATGAATTAAGAAATCTCAAAAAGAATATGACAAACCAAACTGAAATTAACTAAAGCAATCAAAGGAAAATGGTGAAGAATGTGCATGCATACAGGAATTGCAGTTTCGTCAGCCTGCTCAATGTGTCTGGTATGGGACCAGTGAAACTGTTCAAATACAGATCCAAGGTCACCAAATTTGTCAAATTCCCAAGATCACTGGGAATCGATCCACTTATGTTGTTACCATAAAGCTCCCTGTCATATGAAAATTGAACTTAACATCTAAGCAAGTTACAATGAAAAGCACAAGATTAAAAGGAAAAAATAGTATTTAACCAAGTATCTTTTACTGTATTATCAATTTTAGGCATCCAAAAGCAGGCATCTTTATACTCCATTACTTTAACATATTTGTAGTAGTCAATTCGTTTAATGGTGCAGGGCTAAAAGTTCATGTAAAGCATGCAGTTGGGCCTAAGCTTCAAATGGTGAGCAATGCATACACCTCAAGACAGGAACTGCAAACCTCACCATTCACCGTTTAATTAAACCAAAAAGTTACGCCCTCTTATTAATTTGCTTAGCTCTTACTTTAAATCCAAGAGATGACTATCAAATTAACATGAATAGGATTATATACATCCAAGGCAGTCAACAAAAACCTTCATCTTTGATTTAGGACCAATGCGGGAAACACTCTCCCACAGGTAGTGACCCCAAAATTGATGTACAGGAACATGGTAAGAGGCTTTTAGCGGTGAAATTTTAAATGCTAGTATGGGGCCAAAATCTTGGTGAGTTTTTTCTTTTTAAGATTTTATGGTTTGTATGTGAAACAATAATTTGAGAGAGTGATAGAGAATAGAGAGAGAAAGACTGAATTGTTCAGTTGTTATATATCTGTGTAAATTACAAGGAGATTTACACCTCTCTTTTATAGAGAGGAAGAGGGACATTGGGTGCCGTTGCACCGAAAGCATAAAGAGAGAGAGGGGGAACAACAATTATGAAAGCATAAACATAATAATGGACTACAATGATGACTAACACTACTAATATACAATATGAATATACAATATACTAACAGTATGGAGGTGACAAAAGGATGAGAGCTTGAGGGTGAAAAGAAGGGACTGTATGGGCTGTTCTAGGCCTGTGAATTGTTCTCATTAATAGTTAAAAGCCATCATGTGTTATTTTTACTGCAAGGGTAGAGTTCTTGAAGGAACAAGGGGGTAAGGCTTAGTTTTTAACGGTAGGAGAAGGAAAATCAAATTTGGTTGTGGGGCTTGTGGCTGTTATTTATTGGCTACTACTACTGCCATGCAGATATTTGAGTGACAAGACAGCAAGTCAAAGCCTTAGTAATATAAACATGTAAATATATGACTGGGGAATAGGGAAACTAAAGTTGAAATAATATCTTACAAAGGTGAGAAAAACAGATGCACTCATAAGTTGGTAGACACACAAAAAGGTTGATTGGTGGAGGTATAGACTCCACCAACCCAGAGAAGCCAGATAACATAAACATCCAACTTTAAATTTTGCAGAATCTCTCTATGTCGCTCAAGTAAGGAACGGGAGAATTGCACATAAATCAAGCACAAGAAACAAGTTTGTCATCTTAAAACTATAAAGACAAACAATTTAATCACAATTTACTCTTCAAAATTATCATTGAAAATAATTCTTACCAGAAACATTATTAGACTAAATGAAATATTCTTCTTTTGCCAACAATACAAACAGAACAATTTGAATGACAACATAATGAGAAGATGCATATAGTGAAACTTTCAGGAAACAAAATGTGAATCTGCCCAAGACAATAAATTTCAACAGAGTTACACAAGACTTACAGGTGCTTTAAATTTTTAAGCTGACAAAGCTGAGGAACTATTTGACCAGATAATCCTGCATTTCCAAGATCACTGAAGAAGAGACAAACAACCATCATCCAATGCATCAGCTACAAATCGGAATAAAGTTAAAACACTTCGTAGAAGTTTATGTTTGCATGCCAATTGACATCATCGAGAAAGAAGGTAACTAACACTCTTATAACACTACTTTCATTGTTACATGTAACATGAAACCATGTGCAAGGGTTCATAAGTGTAGGATCCCAGCTCCGCAGAACATCCTTAGGATCTTCTAAATTAGTTTGTAGGCTGCGCAAAGCATCAACTGTTTACAGACGCAAGCAATAGGCATCAGCTGCTGGAACGAACAACAAATAACATAAACTCAATATTTTATTTTCATATTGTCATTGATTACTGGAAAAATAAAAATAAAATCGATTTTGTAGTTATTCCCTCACACACAAAATCAATTTTTTGGCTTCGCCACTACACCCAAGGACTTGTAATATTTAATTACAGACTTTGGTGCCTGTACAGTTAGTTTGTATAACAAATATATAATTTGGGTCAATGCCACTGTCATCTAACTTCTACAGTTCTTCAACTATGGAATATTATAATATTCATACAAACTTCAAAGTCCTTTTTAACTCAGTCCACCATTAAAAATTGGCCAAAAAGAAAAAATACTAATCTAGTGACTCATAGTTCATGCAATGCAACCGCACACCTTGGTTAGAACTTCCAGGCCAAGTTGAAGTTTTAGTCAAAAAAAAAAAACAAAAAACCACTATAAAAAAGTCTAACTTTTATCATTACCTTTTGCATAATTTTTCATAAAATGTCAAAAAATCACTAAAAAGTCGATTCTCAAAACAATTCTTACTCTGCTATAACACGAAACCGAATACATAATATTTTACAAAATTTGTCGATGGGATCCTAATCTAAAAAAATATTGGGCTTTTTTCAAGTTCAAATCTCAACTTGAGAGGTTCGTAGGTACACTATAGTTTTCGTTTTGATAACACGAATCCTTTATTTTGTAGAGTATTCCATCTATATGAAAAAAACTTAAACTGATCTGATAATCGTAAGCTTTTTCATTTTACTGTGTTTGCCTTAAAAAACATAAATAGTCTATTTTCATAAACATACTTGTCGTACATTTTTTCAAAGATAAACGTAAGAGAATAAAAATGTTATTATTATTACATCAACCTAATTTTTTCCCGGGTTCTACAAAATAAATTGTTCAAATCTCTTAAGCTCTCTCATGAGATTTGAACTTGATAGACATTTTGCATTCTGTATCCCATTTTTTGATTGGTTTCCATGTAATTAGAGACAGAACTACAACTTTGAAGAACAAACACATTTCATCAAATCAATGCCACAAGAAAATCGAAAACCAACCAAATATCAAAAAATAAAATACAATTAATTCAGTACAGACGTTCCGTATTAGCAGAGATCATCGTCAAAGTATGAAACGCCATGATTAACCACAGGAGAGCCATATACTTGGTCAATCTCCTCCCTCTCGATCCACCACTCGCGAAACCATAGCTCGTAGTGAATGTTGCAGAAACCTCCATCATTTCCAGCGAATGGTGCACCGAACGAATCCAAATCGAAGGGCGATCTTTTCGTGACACGAAAACGAGTTTTGTGAACATTGTTGTACACTTTTTCTCGCTTAGATTTTCCTTTTACTTTCTTCGTCTCTTCTCTGAAACTTTTTAGGGTAGACACACAAAAAGGTTGATTGGTGGAGGTATAGACTCCACATTCATCCAAAACCGTGCTATCCGTTTGTTGGGATTGAGTGATTGGGAGAGAAAAAGAAAGAAAAGAAATAGTGGGATGTATTTTTTTATTTTTTTATTTGGATAATTTAAAGTTAAGAAAAATGAGAAGAAGTAAAGAGAAATTGAGAAAGACTCGTTTCTTTTGTAAGTTTTATTTTTAATCTTCTTAACAGTGAATGAATTGAGAGAGAAAATAAATTATTATTTTTATAATATTAATTTTGTTTTTATAAAAATAAAAAAAATAAATGATTGATAATATAAAAAAATTATTTTGGTAATATAATATAAAATAATTTCTTTTCTTTTCTCTTAATGGAATCTAACCAAACAATAATGAAATAAATTACAATCATTTCTTTTCTTTTATTTATTCTTTATCCAAACAAAAATTAAAGAAATCAGAATCATTTCTTTTTTTTTTCTCTTCTCTTATAACTTAAGTAATAGTTTACTTTCTTTTCTTTCCTAAGTTCCCAAATAGTGTAAGGCATGGTTAGGTTAGAGCATCCCGATTTGTCTTCTTTTAGTTTTTTTTTTAATTAAATTTTTTATCAAATTTGGTAAAAAAATTTCAAGTAAAGTGTTTCAACGGAAAATTTTAGGGGGTGTTTGCTACGTGTTCCACACATATTTCTGTCAATTAATTTGAGTGTAGTGTTTAATTTGAGTTTTAAAATTATAATTTCATACTCATTTTTTAAAACTTATTTTCAGGTGATAAAATTTAGCTAATCTGGTCGTCTTCCCAGACGTCGTGACGTTTGACCGGTTGACCAGAACAGTATTTGATTTTTTTTTTACACCTGTTATTTTTATATTGTAAATAAAAAATATTTTCATAAATTTTAAAATTTTTATATGAACTTTGAATATAATTTTTTAGTTGTGTATTTAGTTATGCGTTGTAAGATTTTTAATCAAAAAACTTTTCTAATTTTAAAAATTCAAAATTCTCTAAAAAACTCTTTCCAAAACTCATAACCAAACAAATTTTCTATACTCAAATCATAATTTCAAACTCACAAATTTAAAATACAACCTCATTCTCAAATTATATTTATAAACTTTTATCAAACGCTACCTTGAGCTTTTATTAAAACACCAATTGTTCGGACGAATGATTAGACAAAAGTCTAGCCGATTGATCAGTCAACGTATTTTTTTGGGCAAATTTTTGTTTTGAGATGGTCATTTAAGAGGACATTCAGTGAAAGATTTTTGATATTCTCACTTTGATACTTAACCATTAGAACTTGAAAAGATTTGTTTTTTCATCAAATTTAAATTTGATGACAAAATTAATGAGCCATTGGAAGTGATTTTATAGATATCAACAAATTCATACTAACAAAATAAAGAGAAAAAATGTAGACCTAAATATTTTACTAAATATCTCATATGGATGTGAAACTCACACCATATGAGTCTTATATAGATTTCACATCTACGTAAGACATTAGATAGAATATTTGGTAAAACATTTGGAATCCCTAACCATGCTCAATACTAAGACCTTGTTTGGATAGTCGCTTTTAGGTTTTTCTTAAAAAAAAAAAAAACTGAGATGTTATACCTTGTTTGGAATATAAGTTTTTAGTCAAATGGCAACTTTTCCCCAGTTCTGTTTCGATAATTCAAACTATTAAATATGTAAAATTCGCTAAGTCCTTCATTCATATAAAAAATACATTAATTGAATATCAATAGCCACTTGATCAAATCATTAATCTATCAACGGTAAATATGATTTTTAAAATAAATTATTGACATAAATTGGTTTAGATCAAGTAGGTATCGATATCCGATCAACGTCATTTTATACAAGAATGAAATGCTCGACGAGCGATCAAATCATTAATCTATCAACGGTAAATATGATTTTTAAAATAAATTATTGACATAAATTGGTTTAGATCAAGTAGGTATCGATATCCGATCAACGTCATTTTATACAAGAATGAAATGCCTGACGAGCTCTACACATTCAACGATCCGAATTATAGAAACAAGACTCGTGGTGGGCCCTATAGGCCTAGACAACACGGTTCAGTCCAAAATCTATTTCTTTAATCAAATAATTAAAAAGTCACTACAATTTTATACTGGGCTTTCTTAAAATTTTAATTCATATAATATTTTGTTTTATTTTTATAAGAAATTTGTTAATCGTACGAATAAAAAAATATTATTATTTTATTTTCATTAAAATATATATTTTAGTATATGTATTTTTGTATCTTCATATCTTGACTCTATTTGGCAAGTGAGTTTTTGGCTTTCGTGACTAAAATTCACAAAAAGATAAAACAGGTTAAAATAGTCAATAAGACAAAATGTCACTTCAAATCCACAATCATTTTGGATTTTTTCTTACAAATATCACATCCAATTACAAAAAAATTCAACCACCTTTCTAAAATATAAAAATTTAAACCTACTAAAATAGTCAAAAACTAAAGGCTCCGTTTGGCAAGTTGATTTCCAGGCTTTTTTGACTATTTTAGCCACAAAAGACAAAATAGGTTATTTTAGTCGCAAAAAACAAAACGTAGCATCCAACCCATAATCATTACACTATTCTCTCACAAAAAAAATTAAAAAAACCAAAAATTCCTTTCAAAACCAAGTTTTTTAGCCCAGACTAAAATAGCCAAAAAAGCTAAAAAATCAAAAAGCCAACTCACTTCCCAAACGGAGGCTAAAATAGCTAACTTTCCAAACGAGGCCCTTGTGTTTATCATTTTTAAATACTAAGGTAGCGTTTAGTACCGTTTACGTTTACAAAAAAATTTATAAACTGGTTTTTGTTTATTTTTAAAAAAATATAAACTACAAACGCGTTTGGTTTAAGCAAAATGTTTAAAAAAATTAAAAAAACAGAAACTAAAAAATATGTTTGTTTAGACGTAAAATATTTATATTTTTTTATTATTATTTATAACAATGGGATCATACAAATTATAATTGGGAAAAAAATTTATTTGGAAAAAAATATATGTGAAAAAAAATTAATTGAAAAAAAAAATTGGAAAAAAAAATATTTGAAAAAAAATTAATTAAAAAAAATTATTAGTCGAATTTTTAAATTTCTGTTTAAAAATCAACGTAAACTCATTTTTTGAGTTTACGTTTTTTCCTCAAATTTATAAATTAAGACAACCATTTATAAACCCAAAAAATTATCCAACAAATTTTTTATGACAAATTTTAAAATTTTTATAAATATAAACCGAAAACGAAATGATTAACAAACTGACCTTAAACTTTCACTAACATGTAAGGTCCATTGCAAAAATTCCGTATGTAAAAAATTAAAATTCATTAGACATCATCAAATTATTTTTATTAAACAATTTATAATCAAAATTATATTTAACATTCATATCACAAAAACAAACATGATTGATTATTAGATTTTGCAGATGATTAAACAAACACGATAACTTTGTCAAAGCTAATAATGTAGCAATGGCTTAAACAGATCATTGGAGGAACATTTTTTTTAGAACTGTTGCTATGGTTTGGCTTTTGACATCTCTGGTAACTTGTCGCTAGTCTTGTTTTAATGAGACTGTTTATAACAGTTTTTATTAGTTGATTATATCTTATTTTAATATGAAAATTTATGTTAAATTATTTGGTATAACTTTTACTTATAGTTTATTATGTATAAATTATTTAAATAAATTAAAAAAATAATTATTTAAAAATTAGAAGATGTGTGCTTTTAACTTCCATTTTCTAATTATTAACTTTAACTTTAAAAAAATATACCAAATAGAGCCAATGTGTTTAATGTCTGATAAAATTGATTTATTGAATAAATAATTTTCACAGCGAGATTTGGATGATGAACAATTCAAATTACCGTTACAAGTTTTAGATGAGATTTACAAAATAATAAAATTCAAAAAAATATAGAAAATAATGATAAATTGGATTAGACCCCATATATGATTACCAAAAGTATGCGGACACCAAGTTGATGAATGTTTCACCAATTTATTTTCTCAGGCAATAAAATATAGAATTCCACAGTTCAGTTTGCGATATATTGTGGTCCTACAAATTTTGGTAATAAATTTGCAAAATTGATTAGAGTCCCATTTATTTTATTTTTTTGTTTGTTTAACAGTTGGTTAGGTCTCTTTATGTGCACATTGACAAATCTCTTCTCTGATTCGGTCATTTTAATTTAGTGATCAGAGGTGTTTAGGTCAATTTATACCTATTTTAACTAATATTTTTCCTAGTTTGGAAAAAAAATAAGGACTCTTTTGGAAAGTGGGTTATAATCCGCTTTCTAGATTATAACTCACTTCATCTCTCACAAAAAAATTGCTTATAAGCTATTTTTTATCAAAAAATTGATTATAACCATCTTCCCAAAATAACCCTAAGTCATCTATGCCGAGATCAAGAAATTAACAAGGAATTATTTTTTTACGGATTGATTCAATCAATTAAACCCTCAATAATTGTGGGGAGGGTACACCCACTAGCCACTCGAGATAAGCCTAAATGTTGGAGTTCGATTTTGTTGTCATAATTTTTCTTTTATAGTAATCTTACGGGACATTTATTCATAAATTTCTCTTTACCCGCTTATATTTCACTAAGTTTAAATTGTTTTCTTATGTTCCAATAAATTATATGGGTGATATAATTATCAAAATATCCTTAGTAATAATAAGATGAAACCCACATTAATGTTCACATTATTAAATTTATTTAATGTAAATGTTCATATCATTGAACATTTAAAATAGTTCAAAAATAGTGCACACCAAATTGCTAAGGATTCAAAAAATATTTGTAAAAATAAAATTGTCCATATATTATCTTAACTATGAGAATTAAAATTTAGTGAATCAAATGTTTAAAATAATAAGATTTATTGAAAGAGATATTTCATTGCAATTTTTCATC